TTACCTAGAAAATTCTGCAAAAATAATTCATTCACCAGCTCCCTGAGGTATTATCTTGTATGAGTAGATTGTGTGAGCAACTCACTCACAGGTGAATGGTTGTCATCTTAAAATCTCAGTGGAGGGAGATAGAAGAGAAGATTTCATTATGTTCCCCAAACATCTGGCCTTCCCAAATATGTCATTAGACGTCGGCCAGGTGTGAGGCATTAGAGTGGATTGCTATGGTATTACAAGAAGGAAAGAAACCCAGCCCTCTGTAGAAAAGCAAGTCTTTCTAGACTCTCTCTGCTCCCATCCCCACACCTTTGTATTCAGATCACCCTTGTGCACAGAAGAGCTATCCCCTGCTTTTGCCGATCCAATTACTCTTTTCCTTTTCTGCAGGAAGGGATCAGAAAATAATTCCCAAAACCCAGCTCATTCACAGTGTGCTGCAAACACACTGGCCATTTGCTCAGCCACTCTGCTTACCTATTTCGAAACATGTCTACCTTATTCTGCAGAACTGGAGTCACTGATACAGAAATTCGTGAATTTTTCTTCTAGTCCTGAGCTGTATGTGTGTAAAGCCCACTGGGCAAGTGTCATATTCTCTATTACATCCATAAGAATATATTTTATTAGTAAGCCATTATCTGCTACTGAAACCATTAAGGATAACTTTTTACATCTAAAGCTATACAGTCATACGCTCGGTGGTTAACATGTCAACTGTGAAAACCTAAATGGACATCTATAGTCCATCTTTCCTAGAGATGTCACAACACTTCATCATGATCCTGTGAAATGTCCAGCTTTCCTGGGAAGTGCTGGTGAGGTCTTCTGGAATGCTATCTCTGGGGAATTCAGGTATATTTTCAATGCTGCAGAAGAAACCGGTCAGGGGGTCTTCAGTTCTTCACTCAGTCTAGAGATTGGAGAAGCTGGGTCTCTTTAAACCACATCTGGCATTTTGTGGATTCTTCAACCCCTGCAGCTCCTTTTGGACTGAGGCCTTACTTAGGTGTAGTTCTGGGTTTTGATGAGAAAATGAACCAGAAATGCAAAGTTGCTACAGAAGGACTCCCAGGAATGTGCCAATACACAGGAGATTTGCACCAAGCGAACTTGGTAACAGCATTCAAGATTCCCTCTACCCACCTTACTAACAGACAATTTTAAACATTTACCATCACATCTCTGCCTGTAAACCTCCATTGTCCAACTATAATTTTACGTAGTAATACCATTCTTGTACTTTGATCTCTATGCTTTTTTTGTAATTTTTCCTCCATTATATCTTTTTTTTTTTAATTTTAGAGATTCTTTATATTTTTGGGCACATCAATGCTTAATGTTAATAGTCTCCCACATGGCAATGGATTTTTACATTCACTTACTCTAACTTCTTTCTGTGATTTCTAGGAATTGGCTGCATATATTCAGACTACCATTTTATGACTCAAAGTTTCAAACCCAGGTCCTTGGTCATTCTAGGCATACACTGTACCACTAAGATACATGCCTCTCTTAGAATTACATGTTAAAACCTAAGTATGAATATTATTCTTAACTTTCAATCATTTGTTCATTGGAAATTTTTTCCTAAATGAATATTTTATTTATGTATTCCAATTATGTAAGCCCACAATTTAAGCCATGTATTTCAGAAACTCCATCAGTCTTTGGGAACAGAGCTGTCCAGTGAGCTTAATCCTCACGTGTGACACCATTGGAATGGCAAAAGAAACATCACTGTAACCTTTATTTCTTATTCTTCCATTCTCAGCTAACTGACATTTTTCCCCTACAAATGCTATTTGATGTTCACATTGTACTGAATGGTCCTCTTTAGAACAACCCCCTAACTTTGAGTAGAGCTCAACATCTTTTCAAACAGAGAAAACACTTGGGTCCACCCAGCAGATGCAGATTTCAAACTTGCAAACTCTCCAGATCTTTGAAAACTTCAGAAACAATGCCTTGAGTTGAAATGTTCAAATGTCATTGCAAGCAGATAAGCTAAGACAATGGCAGCCAAGAAAGCTGGGGACCCAAGAGCCTGGAGACAAAGCCCTGCTTGCAATGGAGCGCAGTCCTGGAGACTGAAAGAGCACAGGCAACATTTAAATTTAGAATTTGCTGGCTTTTTTTTTCTTCTAACACTGAATTGCAACTATTACACTATATGAAAGGTTGGAAGATGAATGAATCTCTTTTTAAAAGGGGAACTCTTACCAGTGAACCATTAGAAAGAATTGCTTCAAAACACTTACACAAAGTCAAAATTCTTTTTACAATGTTTCCAGGCTTCGAGAACTATATAGTTGGGATCAAATGAGTATATTCTGGGATTTAAAGCATTTATAAATACATTCAACTTTACCAAATGCATAAAAATTGGTCTCCTGGTTAGACATATTCTTGTTGATCACATAAAGCCTAAATTCTCTCTGGTTTTAGACAAAAGTCACCTGGGGCCCCTGCCTTTAGGACCTGCACTATGGCTGCACTTAGATCAAAGCTGAGCTCGGCAATGCCCACTGTGTGTGTTTTAATGCTCTTGTTGATGTTATAATATTAAAATTTTAGGTTTCAATATCTGTAGTCTTTATCAAAAGTGTTAAGCAATTTTATTAGTACTATCTTTCCCTAGAAAAAGATACAGATGAAAATGAATGTTCTTAGTTTGTGAGGAAGAAAATGCCCACTGCTTAGGTGATGTTTCCAATAACAAACCATCGCTCCTTTGGAGTTATTGAGATGACTGATATCCTAAATTAGGAAAAGACATCAGGACATTATTTCTTATATGTCTACACACTTCAAAATTTATTAGAACTGAATTTATACTCAGTCTAATGCACTTATTTTTTAGTGTTAAGTTGTATTCATTTTGACTTATGTAAAAACTATTATAGCTATTATTTCATTCAAGATATAGAGCCACACCCTCCCACACCCCAACACACACCCTTTCCTACCCAGCTTTGCAATCAGTGTTACCCAAAGTCCCCTTTAGGTAACTGAAGACCTGGCTTTTGTAACTATGGATTAGGGTTTCCTGGTCTAGGACTTGTCTATTTAAAGGAAATCACCTGGTGTGTGTGTGTGTGTGTGTGTGTGTGTGTGTGTGTGTGTGTGTGTGTGTGTGTAGTTACATCTGTCTTTCTCAGTGTGATTTTGAGATTCATCCCCCATGTCATGTGAAACGGTGGTTAATCTTTTGATTGTTCAACATCGTTCTATTGTTTATATTTATTTGCTTGCTGTTAGTGTTCATGTGATATACTTCTAGTTTAAACTGTTGTGAATGAAACTAACACATGCAGTGTATATCTGTGGATACACACTTTAGGAACATGTTAAGTCTATGTTTCACTTTACAGTAAAATGTCAAATTTCCTTCCAGAGTGCTTATTCAGTGGCACAGTCTGGAGTTGAGGAGGGTGAACTTCAGTGGCTCCCTACCTCACCACTTGATGTTATCAGTCTATTTAATTTTAGTCTTTCTAGTGGCTCCATTCATAGTGGTATCTCAATGTGCTTTGATTGTCATTTCTATGATAACGATGTTGAGTATATTTTCATGTACTTTGTTTGCTTTCATATGCTTGTTTTGATCATTTTTAGGTGGGCTGTTAGGGTTGTATGCTATAAATTTTCATATATAGTTAATGTCATTTTTTGTCAGAAATAAGTATAATCTTTTTCAGAGACATGACTTTTCATTGTTTTCTAATGATGTTTTAATGGAAATAGGGTCTTTATAGAGGCAATCAAGTAAAAAAACAAACAAGAAGAGGTAATTACTAGGATCCCTTACTTTGTCATAGAAATGGGAAGTTTGCACTCACTCATAAGGAGAATGCTACTGAGGATGGAGGCAGACATCAAAGGGACACATTTATAAAACAAGGCATACCCAAGACTCATAGACAATCATCAGAAGCGAGCAGAAAAGGTGGAAGGAATCAACCAAAGAAAGGAAGCAGCCTGGCCACACCTTGACCTTTGACACACAGCCTCCAACAGTATGAAGAAATACATTTCCATTTAAGTCATGAAGTTTTTCACACTTGGCTAAGACACTGCCCTGGGAAAATCAAGCAAGTCTGTCATTTTTCTCTCCTTCTCAGAGAGGGCTTTTTTGTGTTTTAGGGATCTCTGCCTTTCTCAAGGTTACGAGGATTTACTTCCCTGCTTTCTTTTAGATGTACATTATTTTTACATTACACACAGGCATATGTGTATTTTCCTATTCACTGGTTTCACGTTTGGGTTTTCCAATGCCTGAGGGAGCACTTGATTCTTGTATATTCTCTAGAATCAATCACAGTTCTGGCAACAGTGTAATATATCAGCTGGCTCTGTGCCCATCCTTGAAAATTCAAGTTGGACCAAGTTATTTTCACAGTGGTAAGGGCCCAGGTTCTTTTGTTTTCCTTCCTACTAAGTCAGGGATGATGGTAACTGATGCTTTAATACCAATTCCTGAGTACTGAGCAAGGTCATGCCTAGTATAAGTCCCTACTCCTACTGCCCTTCTTCCTCTCACAGTGAACTCCGTATGTCCAGATTCAACAGGTATGGTTCTGCGTAACTGTCCTAAAAGTATTGAAACAGGAGGTGCTTTTCTCCATCATATACGGCAGTGTCAAAGTTCCCAAGGGCATGCTATCAACCTCACCCTCTAGGACAAGAAAGGACACACCCCTCTCCACACAAATTACTATTGTCGACGAAAGCTACTCATCCACTCTTCCGCTCAGTTTGGAGTCAAAGGCTTTCTAAGTCATGGGAAGAACTGAGAAAATAATTTCAGTAAATTTCTTCTACAAAGTCTTTTCCTGGAACATGGTGCTCAGCAGCAGATACATAGAATGGGTTGCTTTTGAGATGCTGAGTTGCTGCATTGACATACAGGGCTGTTTTCTGGTTACTGGTGTTCTTTTTGCATAAGCACCAAGCAGGCCTTTAATATACCTTCTCAAAACTTTGCATGGTGAATACCTTACCCTTGACTGACAGGTGTCTCCAGGTTACCGTTGGTTCTGGTCTGCCGATTGCAAGACATAACAGAGTCACACTGCTTCCTTCATTCACAGTAACGTCTGAAGAGATGTTCATTATCTGGGGAGGAACTAGAAACACAAGAGAGAAAAAAAACTGAGAATGATTCCTTACACTTAAAAGGAGCTGTCAGCTTATAAATATGCATATATCATATTATGAATTTGTACCATAAATATCATTTTAATCCCACTTTGCTCATCTTGGCAAAGATCTGGCCAGTGACACCATTTATAGAATGTCTCGAATAGAAAAACTCATTGTGACGCCCTGTTGAGGTAGTTGGTAGATGTAGGTATGGTGGTAGCATTGGCAGATCTGAAGACAAGAGTATAACCACTTATTCAATGAGAGGAAAGTCAAAGATGAAACACAAGAACCTGCAAGAGTCCTTCTCTGTCGACAGGCTCCTTTCTTATTTACACAGATGACAGGAGGTTCCCAGTCACAGATTATACCCAATACCTCACTGCAAAAGCCAAACACATTGACTAATTATCATGTCCCAAGCATTCAGACCCTTTTTAAAGCTTTGAGGTTGAACCCAGTATTTCTTCCCAGAATTCTTTTCAACTATTTTTTTACATTTATTTTATTTTATTATCGGTGTTTAGTGGTTGTTTATTTTAAGCCTACATAAATCCAGTTCAACAAATCCACAAAACTTTTAGTACATACTGGAAATTGTGCAGGATACTAAGAATTAAAATGAGTAATTGAGTATGCAGTTCGTGCTCATACAAATAAAAAATATTCACAAAACAATAGGCAACCTCCCAAACCAGAAAGTTTCCATTAATCCATCTGACCTTCAAACACCATTCAATTTTTTTCTTAAAAAAATTTTGAGACAATGTTTCTCTGTTTAGCAGTCCTAACTATCCTAGAAGTCAGTTTGTAGACCAGGCTGGCCTGGAACTCGGAGATCCACCTGCCTCTGCCTCCCAAGTGCTGGGATTAAAAGCGTGCACCACCACTGCCAAGCTTCAAATTTTGCTACTTTTTAATTTTTTTTTTGTTTTCTGGTTTGAGAACTTCATACACACATTAATGTGTTTTGATCAAACATATATCCCATTTGCTCCTCTAATTTCTCCCCTACTCCCCTACATGTAACTTCACATGCTCCCTCTCTGTCTTTTATAACCTACTGAGTCTGTTTAGTGCTGTCCATAGATGGGTATAGGATCATCTACTGGGGTATGGATAGCAATTTAGGGGCTGCATTCTTGAAATAATCATATTCTCCCTCTCTTAGCTGCTGTCAGTTGCCAATATCTTCCGAACTAGTGGTAGGTCTTCAGTGGCTTTCAGTACAAGTGTCTTGTTGTGCATGGTAAACTGTTTGACTGTAGTTATTCACTGCCTTTGGCTCTTACAGTATATCCATCCCCTCTTTTATGATGATCCCCGAGCCTTGAGAGACAGGTTATGACATAAATATCACACCTAGAGTTATGACATAAATATCTCACCCCAGAGTCTCATAGTCTCTTTATATTTATCAGTTGTGAGTCTCTATGTTTCCTACTGTGTTAATTATCTTCTGCTCAAAGAAGCTCCTCTAATGAGAGTTGAGAGATCCACTAAACTATGGATATCAAGATAAGAACATAGGGACCAGATTAACACTATGTCCATTTCATAGAATAATAGCATTAGGGTCTCCTCTACTGCCAGTGCCCTAGCCTGCCACAGATGTTTTTCTCCAACTAACAAACAGTATCAGGCATGAATTCTGTCTTGGGAATTAGGCTTTAAATACAATCAGAAAGTGGATGGTTTGCACCAGTGGGCATATCTTGCTGGGTGAATTACTGTAGCTCATAGGGTTCTCAATGGGGTAAGAGTATTGAATACTCTTCTCCCTTGGTATTGAAAATAGAGCCTTTCAGCACTATGAAAGTTAGCCAAGAGAGATGAAACTTCCAGGTAAGTACTAGCTGGATTTCTCTACGGTCTGTGACCCAGACATGTAGTACCTTCATCAATAGGGTCATAGCATACAGTGCTAGAGGACAACCAAGAGCAATGGCAATAGCCTGTAGGCCTTTTGATGGAGAGAGTGGTCTGTGACCCCAGTGATAAACTACTCAAAAAGAGGTAACCTGTACCTGGTACTTGGCTTTTTATTTGGCAGCCTATGGTGCTTGAGAGAGGCATTGTCCTGCCATTACAGGGTAACTCCATTTAAACTCCTTCTCTATATGTACATGTGAGGGAGACTAGCTCCCTCTTTTTCCCTCAGGGTACTCTTGAGGAGGGAGAAGTGAGAAGTCTGTGGCTAGAAGTATAGAGGAGAGAGACAGTTAGAAACATAGGATAGTTCAGGAGGGCCTGGGTCAAAACCCACCAGCCCCTTCTGTCTCTACTAAAGGGCTTTGAAACAAATGCCAAGGGGTGGAGCAAAAGACCTCCCCTCAGCACAGCCAAGAGCAAACCATCCCAGCCACCTGGTGACCGTGCACGTGGTCAAGCCATCCCCTAGTGCAGCCCTGCTGTGTAAAGCAAGCTCAGATCTCACTAGGAAGCTTTTGTGGACTCCCACATATATGCATAGATTTTGGAAAACTTCTATAGTAGTAGGGTTCTATATGGTATTTTCAAACATCTTGAGTGTTAATTATCCATCCTCATACTTCTCACTTCTACCCTGTTTTCTTTTCTTCATTCCATTTAACCCCTTTGTCCCATTATTACCATTCCATCTTCATACTCTTCTCGTATCTTATTCTCCAAATTCTTGCCTATCCTTTAAAACTCTGAATCTTTGTCTTGATCTCTTGATTACTGTTAATTGTATTCTCCTTGAGACCAACAAAGAAAACATTAAACTCTCCATTACTGTTGTAACCTTTCATTGTATGGATGTTCCTTGGTTTGTGTTGGGGTTATGACCAATAAACATATTCTAAGTCAAAAATATCATTAAGTTCAAAATACATTAATTGTACAAAACCTACTGAGCATCATAGCTCAGGAATTCCATACAGCATGGAAGATTGGTGATTTCGTTTCTTCTTGTCTGTGTGTTTTAACTGGAGCTATGGTTCACTGCCACTGCCCAGCACAGTGAAAGAGTTGTATACCACATAACACCAGCCTTGGGAAGACCTCAAATCAAAATTTAGATCAAGATTTCTATGACATGAGAAACACTTTTGCATTGTTTCAAACACTGGATAATTTTAAGACCCACAGTAAGCCAGGACATATTTGTGCCATGAAATGAATTATTTTTGGTGCTATGGTATTCCATCAGTTAGAGCCAGGGCTCTGGAGGGCAGTTTCTCACCTACTGTGATCTTAATTAGTAATTTGCTCTCTACTGTTTGAACTTTGGTGCCTCACCTGTTAACTGGGAGGCGCTAACCTCTTGACGCTAACCTCTTTGCTGGATGATTTTAAGTGCTGTCTTATCAGTGTGTTTGACGTAAAATAAGCACTCGTAAGTATTGGTTGCTATGGCAGCCACAATGCTGCTGCTGATTACAAAAAATAAGTGACAGTAACATTGCACAATTGTTTTCTTCTTTAATACTGGGACAAGGTCCACGGATCTTAGGCACTTCAAGCATAATATGATTCCTCATCTTACTACCTGCCTTGGTTGAACTTGTGACCTTAATTACCAACTTCACTAAAACCTCAGGACAGGAAAATACCTAGATTTCACCTCAGCTTTTCTCATCAGCATTTCTGCTTGGCTTTATCACTAATTCTCAATAGAGAACTACAGTAGATTCTCACGTGCAGCTTTGTAATTGGTTCCTTAGCATCTTTACGTCCATCAAATCTACCCTCTCTATGTAGACAGCATGACCCTTTGAAGTAATAAGGTAATCAGTCTGCTCTTCTACTGACTCTTGCAGCTCTCTATGGTGTCCCAGGTATAACACACAAGTTCCCCTGTGTAAACAGGGCCTTCGTAGACTGACTACAGAACCTTATCTATAGACATCTGCCACTCACAGAGCACCCTGCAGACTGCCATGCTCTTGGATTCCATCAAGCAGATCCCCATGCCCTTGGATTCTGTCAGGACCCAGGGACCCAGAAGACTTTGCTGTTCTTCCCCCTTCTTCATCTTTTACTTGTAGGGGCTTGGCTCGTCTTTAGAGACTCGCTCAGGTACCACCTTCCTTCTGTTGTTCCCTTCCCCACATCCCCAATACTGAAGCATTTTTCCTGTGTCACCTCACGCAAGCCTGCCTCAAGAAGATGACAAACCATGCTGTATTGCAGCTACCATAGCACCCTGTCTCTTTCCCTAGGGACCAAGTGCATGAGGAAAGGTGGAAACCCTGTATCTTGGACTTGGAAGATATCAAGGGCATGTGCTGAACTCCTCTCTGAGAGGAGGATTCAGATCACAGTCTGAACAGAATTCCAACGCTAAGGGAGGCAAAGCTTGGAATGCAAGCTTCCGGCTTCCTTCCCAATTTTTTATTCCTTTCAAATCATCAGAATTGAATGAAAGACTCCAGAGAGACAAGGCACCAAGCCTACAGTCCTGTTGATTTATTTGTATTGCCACTTTAATTATGAATTATTAATTATCAAACAAACAGCTGAAGTGCTGGTAGGTTCCAAACCACCCAAGTCATTGGCAGAAGAGAATTATGGCCAATGTTGAGTTCTGACAATGCCGCAGCCTGCAGTTTCACACTGCTGAGACCTCACAGGTGAGACTTTTCAAGGAGAAGCCATAAGTAACCAGCGGAACATTTGAGCTCTTGAGGGAATCCACATTAGCAAATAAATAAAAATTGCTTAGCTTATAAATCTGCCATATTGGGGGTTATTTCTGCATTAGGAATTGCCTTGAAATTTCAGTGCACATATTTTACCAAATAACACACAGGAAAAAAAAAAAAACAGTGCACTTTCCAACTGTACTGTATACTCTGGAGAAAATGGCTCTACCTGTTTTTCAGTATTTTCTAGCTTGTTAAAAAAATCGGTCTGGGCATAGAAATGTCAATACATGTTTTCTCATTCCTATAAAGCAACAACTTCAGTGCAGCTTCCAAATATTCTCAAAAATAATATCTGCTTTAGCCAGAAGTGC